GTCATGCTTCTCACATTTCGAGTAGAAGGTCTAATGTACATGTATCTGAAACCATATGGACATACAGTGCCATCTTGTGGCAGAATTATAGTTTGAAAAACGTTCTAAGATACTGGCACAAATACGTGACAGTCAGTAGTAAACGGAAAAATGCTCTGGCACGCATGCGTGTCGGCCAGTAGGTAAGTGTGTTCGTTGTTGGCACGTATATGTGACAGTCGGCGTGAAGGAGTTAAAAGCCACTACGCCACACGATACAGCTAAATGTCAGAAATGTCGCCCATCAAAACAGCCTTTAAAAGAAAGTTTTTTACAAAGAAGTGCAACTAACTTTCTGACTGGCGTACATATTGGGTTGGCAACTAAGTAATTGCGGATTTCACTTATAGATGGCTTCAGTTGAATTTTTTGGGTTGCAGACGTAGTACAAATGTAAAACACATTTTGTTATTTGATAGTTGGCAATTCAGGTGTCAATCAGTAAAAAAAGTTTTTTGATCGGTTGCGTAGTTTTCGGTTGGCGTTCGTTGAAAAATGGAAAATCAAAAGGAACATTTTCGTCATATTTTGCTTTTTTATTTCCGCAAAGAGAAAAACGCATCACAAACTCATAAAAAGTTATGTACTGTTTATGGTGACGAAGCCTCAAAAGAATGGCAGTGTCAAAATTGGTTTGCCAAATTTCATTCTGGTGATTTTTCACTCTAAGATGAAAAAAGCTCTGGTCGTCCAGTTGAAGTTGATGATGACCTAATCAAAGCAATAATCGATTCGGATCATCACAGTACAACATGTGAGATTGCAGAGAAGCTTCATGTATCACATACATGCATTGAAAATCACTTAAAACAACTTGTCTATGTTCAAAAACTCGATACATGGGTTCCTCACGAACTGAAAGAAACGCATTTAATGCAACTTATTAACAGCTGTGATTTGATAAAGAAACATAATGAAAATGATCCATTTTTAAAACTAGTGATAACTGGCGATGAAAAATGGGTTGCTTACAACAATATCAAGTGGAAAAGAACGTGGAGCAGGCCAGGTGAACCAACTCAAACAACATCAAAAGCTGATATTCATCAAAAGAAGGTTTTGTTAATCAGTTTGGTGGGATTACAAAGAAATTGTCTACTTTGAACTCTTACCACCCAACCAAACGATCAATTCTGATGTCTACATTGAACAACTAACGAAATTAAACAATGCAGTTGAAGAAAAGCGGCCCGAATTGACAAATCGAAAAGGTGTTGTATTCCATCATGACAATGCAAGGCCACACCCATCTTTGGTCACTCGGCAAAAATTATTGGAGCTTGGTTGGGATGTTTTGCCACATCCACCATATAGTCTTGACCTTGCACCATCTGATTACGTTTTGTTTCGATCTTTTCAAAACTCCTTGAATGGTAAAAATTTCAATAATAATGATGATGTCAAATCGTACCTGATTCAGTTTTTAGCTAATAAAAACCAGGCGTTTTTATGAACATGGGATTATGCAATGCTACTACCTGAAAGATGGCAAAACATCATTGATCAAAATGGGTAATACATCACAGAATAAAGTTATTTAGTTCCATGAAAAAATTGTCTTTGATTTTCTAAAAAAAATCCGCAATTACTTAGTTGCCAACCCAATAAAATTGGAACTCTAGAATTATTGAATGAACCTGGTAATAATGAATAATTCAGCATTTCCCCATAATACTGAAGAACATGTAATAAGTAATAGATTTGTATGGGTGTAAAGCATTGACAGAGGGAATTTATTCAAGTAAGTCTGTCTCTGCTATCAGCATTAAAGCTCTGTCCAGTGTTTCAAGAGAGGGACGTGACTGATATTTATAGAATGCTACATTTCAGGTTGTTATATTTGATTTCATGTCTGCACCACATTAATAAAAGCTTTTATTGAAAAATGAAGCATAATTTTTTTTTTTAAATATAATTTCCATGAAATGTTACTGATAAGAAAAAATTACATATTGCAACAGCCACCGTTTTCATTGATATCTATCTCACTGCATGATTCCAAACAGGAAGAAATTTGCAATTTATTATAAAAATTAATTATACACAGCACAATAAATATAGAGCATGCGGAACTGCCATGGTTGTGTTTTTGTACAGTTAGTGCCGAAAATGCCAGTGCATAGACCTCTTCCAGTACAATATACAACCCCGGGTAAGTTACTCATAGATATCAGTAGCTTGGAGACAATAATGGAGAATATATTGTAGGTCAAATGTTTTTTGCAACACAATGAAACTGCAATTACAAAATTGTTTAAATGACATCATTATTTATGTTTTGGCGTTTTTAAATTCGCAAAAGTTAACTTTTTATATAGTCTTCCGGTTCATACATTTATATTTAGGAGAATTTGATATTCATTATACAAAGTAAAACACAAGAACTATGACTTCCATATAGCAAAAATTGACTAAGATATTTCATTTCAAAATGTAAAATTATTTTAAATTTTCAATTTGCACTTAGGAATCGTTTAATAAGTACACCAGAATAATTCAAGATTCATTCCCCCCTTTTCATTGCCATTCAGTGATACTCTTTTGTGGTTTACCATTTTCTTTAATTCATAATTTTATTACATTTGATATGCAAAAGAATTTCATGCAAGTAATATATAAGTTTTCACAGTCTAAAAAATACATTATTAACTTTCTCAAGAAAGTTTATTACCTTTCCCAGCAGTAACCACAGTGTGAAATCTTTTGCCCAGTTGCTATGCAGGATTAAAACAAGGACTTTCCAAACTTATAAACAGTACTAATTCAGAAGTCAAACAACAAAAATCAGCGTTATATTTTCAAAATTTTCACAGGACTAGTTTCGATGGTTTTACCGAACCACCATCCTCAGCTGTAAGTATTTATTCAGCGTGTTATTGTGTCTTAATTATAAATAGTACTCCAACTAACTCTGCATCCTCTTTTACCACTTCGCCTGCCTGCTGGTAAAGTGCCGCTTTGTCTCTGCTATCTATTCTTCCTTATATAAAATGTAGATAGCTTATCTAAAACTGTGTGGCACTTTCAACACCCTTGTTGTTTTAGCTGTTAAAAAATCGTCTTCCAGAAATAAATGATGTTTAACAACCAAGCTGGTGATGTTTCTTCCCAAAATTCATTCCATTTATCCACTACACAGCAGTTTTCTCGGCCATGATTAAAAAGTGAATTGATGCATTCCCTAATCATGTCATCTAATATCAATTTATCTACAACAAAATAAATCATCATACATATATATCATTTCTAGGTGGACTGGGGGCTGCACCCATTAATACTACAGTACAAAGTCAGTAATCTGGACGTCCATTATCCTGAAAGATCTATAATCCGGACCTCAAAGCCACAAACTTACGCATGCGCAATTAGCACAAAAAAAAAAAAAAAAAAAAAACTTAAACATCTTACAATGAAAGAAATGTTTAATAAAGTAAACAAATAAATATTAAGCTTTTTTTTTTTTTTTTTTTTTTTGTAAATTTTGATAACCTTTAAGATTAAACTTGCTCTATTTCATAAATTATGGTTTCATATTTTTAATTGTACAATTTCTGCATGCCATCTTACCAGATTTAAATTGATGATCTATAATCCGGAAAAACCCTTAATCCGGAATCGACGAGTCTGGGTTAGGGACTTTGTACTGTAATACTAATATAGTGTATTTCATTTATTCATATATAAGTAGTAAAACATAAAAATGTGACACCTAGTTGGTCAAAAATTGCATGCACATTGAGCTGCAAATTTTAAAATAGATCGATAAGAAAAGGAGAGGTTAAAAATAGCTAGAGCCATAAAGAACATTTGAACTATCTAATTCCTGATATTACATGTAAAACAAAGTTAAAACGTCAAAGTCTATAATAAAGCAATGAATTGTACGTGAAGAAACCTACATATTATACAGATAAATTAGAAAACTTATACAACAAAATCAAAATTGGTACGTGAAAAAACCTTAACAATTTACAAAATACTGAAAAATTTAAGATATAAGTACATGGTCAATCTACCGTGGTCAAGGGTTCACAAGGCTGTGTTCAAGGCTTCACAAGGCTCTGTTCAAGGCTATTTTTTACCTCTCCTTTTCTTATCGATCTCTCTCTCTCTCTCTCTCTATATATATATATATGTGGTGTGTGTGTGTGTGTGTGTAATATAAGATTTAATATTTAAAAATGCCATGCATGTAATGACTGTTATTGTTCCAAGATGCAGAATTTCATTCTTGTTGTGTGCAAAGAAAAAAAATATTATTGCTACATTGTGATTGATTTTGCTTTGGTATATATTTATTACTGTAATTTCTAATTATGTGTAAATGGAATTCCTTTCATGTAGTTAAGTAAGTTATTGAATATAGAGGTATGTGTACAGGTATAAAAATTAGCATAACAAATTATTTGAAATTTTAATACATATGTGCTTGTGTATGTGTATTTTTCTTAACTAGTAACTTGAAATCAAAGTATTAATTGTTTCCAAAATGACTAAATTTGAAGGAAATGAGCATACAAACACACTTCAAATATTAATTTCAGTTGGATTTTATGTTATTTTTAATCTAAATTTTCTGAAGTAAATGAAAAATTTGGGTTGTTTGATTTAATTTTATAATAGTGTTGACTTTTTGAATGCGAAAAAGAAAATCGAAACTTTCTAGTGAAAACACGAGTTGTATGTATCTACTGAATATGTGTGCAGCCAACTAGTTTTCTAGCAAGATTCTGTTATTCAAAAAGCTTCAAACATTTAAAAATGTTAATCCTTTGCAGCAGACTGTTATCACTTCGCATAAAATTTTCTGAGTTTTCAGATTAAGTTGAAATAATAATGATTATAATTTAAGAGTATTAAAACCAGCTTTTAAAACATATATGTTATTTAATCATGTTATACTGGTTCAATTCAATCTTCCAATGTCTTAATTTCATGTTATTTTCTTTCTCAATCCTCAGTTCGGAATATGCCAATCAAGTGAGCGATGTCACATCCACAAGCAATTTGCTTGCTGAAGGAAATTCGAATGCTGTGAATTACATCTTAGACCAGTCTCAAAGCAATAGTGTTGTGCCCTCCACAAGTAATGGCTACAGTTCACGTAACCACAAGAGTTCAGCTACTAATGGAGAAGTACCTGTTAATCCTAATGTCATCCGGACTGCAGCCATAAAATTACATGATGCTTACCAGGTATGATAACAATGACTGAGTAGGTAACTTACTGAATGGGCATAATATTTATTAAGCTACATATTTAAGCATGTAACTTTGTAGAGAAATTGGGTTTCTTGGAGGAGAAAGTGCGAGAAATCAACGTGCTGTTACAGGATTTGAATCACGGGTCTTCCAGTCACTAGCTGAATGTGTTAACACTAATCGCAATGAGAATGTTGAGGGGCAAAGCAATATTTCATTATAACTTAACGTTTAAACCATTTTACTATTAGTGAACTATTAGTTATTGCTATTAATAACATATACTATTATATTGGCTGTTTACATGGTCAGTATAATAGTACATGCTAAATTTGTAAGGAACTGTAATAATTACAAATTAAATTCTAGTTTAATATGTACTAGTACATGCTAAATTTGTAAGGAACTGTAATAAATACAAATTAATTTCTAGTTTCATATGTACTGTCAGGTGATTTATTGCCTTGTTTTAGCCTGCAGTTGAAGTAACTGTAACTCAGATGAAGTTCCAAGATAAATATTTTTCTTAAACATTAACTTAATACAAATGCACAGCTCATGTTATACAAATCAGTTATCTCTGCTTGCAAGATTTAAACTAACGTAATATATTAAAGTAAAATTTAAAATAAGCAATAATAGGAGTTCACAAAGCAAGTCTAAATATAAGCTTCAGGAAATATAAACTTCAGGCTTCTAAATATGCAAGCAACACAGCTAGTAAAAGGCCAAACCCTTTTTATGTGATTTTAAGAGATGGGCAAGAAAAGCACAAAGGTCACCATTGCTGCCAAAAGCTCTTATCCTAAATCAAGAATTCTATTCTTAATGCACATTAACTAATTTACTTTGCATTTTGGTGGGAGCTGATGAAAGTAGAAGTAGAATGTGACACCTAGTTGTTAACAGTTAAAAACAATAAGATAATGGGTTTGTTAATTGTTAAGTTAAAAACAATAAGATAATGGGTTAGTTAACATAAAACTTAACATAAATAACATAAATAAAAATTATTATGTGTGAAATTTGTTGCTATGTATGTAGAAAAAAAGGGATGCAGCTCTTAACAAAATTGCTGTACTAGCTGATGATTGTATTATGCTTTTGTATCATTACCTTGCATAGGAGTTCATATAGGATTGAATGTACACAGAAATGAACAGTTCTGGAACTTTTCACAAAAGTGCTCATGCTGCTTTTCTCAGTATGACAAAATGTAATCAGTAATTACCCCTTCAAACTAATAAGAACATTAAACAAAGTAATGCTGAGCACATCTAAAGTGCGAATAAGCGAAGCTCATCCAGAGATATCTCAATACTCCGAACTCAACTTAAAATAAAGAGTGAGAACTTAATGTTCTCTCCAATCTTACATAATTTTCCCTCAACCACTGAGAAATTTCCAATCTTCGATTTCTGAAATTGCTGGAAGGCATATACAGTTGCAGTTACTTATAAGGCTCAGACTAATAAAAGTTATATGTTTCACCAGCAATGAGCCTTTGACGTTTTTGTTTGGAAAGACTCAGTTGCCAAAGGCTGTCCAGAGGGGTGCCAAACTCCCCGATCAACCCACGGGGACTTTACATTTCACCATCATCCATCACCGACCATTGACCGGGGGCAACCCCCCCAGACAGCCCTTATATCTGACCATGTAATGTCCCTGCAACCAAGGTCACAGACACAAGAGTACCAATATGGCCCCTACCAAGCCGAACCAACCACTGAATATACAATGGCTCTAGTCCTGTGAAGACTGATAATTTACTCTGCAGTCCAAAGCTCTCTGAACACAATTACAGTTATATAGAGAAATGTCATAAATGCAAAATATACAAACTATCGCCAATAGTCGCCAAGTTTGGCTGTCCTTTTCACATTTCTTGGCGTATTTGGTGACAAAAATTATTCGCCAAAACCATCACCATCCAGGCATAACCATTTGGCGAGATAGCCATTTAACTAAGCATTAAATGGAGCTACTCTTGTAATCTTATTTTTCCAGTGGAGCTTTGCATTCCGGAGGCTTTTCATGTTATATTATACAAGAGATACTGCAATTTACATATGATGTCACTAAAATTACTTACATATATACAAAATCTGTAGCATTGTGGTAATGGTTTGAGAGTATATTTGGATAATACACTAGAAGATCAAAAATCTACCAACGGTGGAAATTTGCCAGCCTTTTATTAATCTGTTAATTTAGATAGGCACTTCCAATATATTAAATATAGAATAGGCCATTTTGCCTTCTGGCTTTTCAAGTAACCAAAGTAGCGACTGCTTTGGAGGTTGTTGGCTACTTGTTGTCACTTATTATTGTCACTTATTGATTGTCACTTATAACTGTTGTCAAACAAATATTTTCCCAAGTTGCTAAATTTAAACCCGTAACTGAACTGTTGGCGTTGTAATCGAACAAAACTGCCGTAGTTGGAAATATTTGTTTGTTTGTTTGTTTGTGTGTGTGTGTGTGTGTGTGTGTAAGTAGCAGGGAAAGTGGCAGTGTAGCAACATTACACGTCCAATAATGGCAAGCACGCTAGCATAATTTGATTGAGTCAACTTTTTTTTGCCCAAGAGGAAAGAATCAAATTGAATTTTTTATTTTTTAACACTGGAAAAGTCTTCCATCGTGTGTTCTTTTGAGGAAAAGGTATCACTAGTGGAAGAATTTGTTCAAGTAACCACAGGATAAAGTTATAGTATAAACGAAGCAAAGCATCAAAATGGCTCGGCAACCAGTGATTATGTGTAGTGAAGAAAGTGCTTTTAATTTTTCATATACGTTCTTCAAGCTGGGACCTATTTGGAAAGTATTGTAAAGATTATCATTACCATTTCAAGCTTCATTTTACGCCAGTGTTTACGACGACTACTGCCTTGCTAGCGGAGAAATACCTGAACTTTTATTATGATTAGAACTAAATAATTATTTGTCGAATCAGAGTGGCAAGTGTTTTTAGTGAGTTTTGTTGAAATTTTAGAATTTTTCGCCAATTCAGCGATTTTCGCCAATTGCATCGTCTGCCAACTACCGACTACTTCGAATCCAGTAACCTGCGGTTTCTCCCAACTCGCCGCTTAACCAGCCAATCCAATGTGCTGAACTTGTTTCTCCCACTCTTTTCTTTGTGGGCTCCAGATTATTTTTTTAGCCTGAATTGTCGCATTCTTTTTTTTTTTTTTTTTTTTTTTTTTTGTTTGCACGTGCTACGAATTTTCTTAATACGTCGTTGTTACGAAATGAGTTCAAAAAAACCGTATTCTCAATATTTTCGGCCTGCCTACAAAGCCGAATTTCCAACAATTAAAGAATCCTTCAAAGGAAATAACTATGCATTTTGCAACGTGTGCGTGTGTGACTTCATAATAAGTCACGGTGGAAGAAGCGACATTGTGAAGCATGTTAAGTCTAAAAAGCATGAAGTTAATGCTTCGGCTTCGACAACGTCAAAGAAAGTGGATGATTTTTTTTCAAATTCGGCTACGAATTCGGATGCCGATGTCATTTTGGCAAGAGTGTTTGTTTACTGCATTCCTCATCGAACACAACGTGCCGCTAAGCGCTGCCGATCACGCCAGGTCAACTTTTCAGACGGATGTTTCCCGACTCCAAGATTGCTCAGAAATATGCTTGTGCTCGCACGAAAACATCTTCTATTGTGAACGAAACTGCTTGCGATGCACAAAGTAAAACGATAGCTGCACTCCAGAATTCAGCATTTTCGGTGTCAATTGATGGCAGCATCGACAGCGATTCGAAGCTTTACCCCATCGTCACATATTTCTGTAATGTTTCTGATGAAATGAAAACTCATCTTTTGCGTCTTCCATTGTTAAATGGGGGAAAATATTGCCTCCTTGGTAATTAATGAGTTGAAACAACATCCCAATATCAAACTGCATTTCATTTGGTGCAGATAATGCTCATGTCATGGTGGGTGACAAAAAGGGTGTAGCCTCTTTCCTTAAAAAGGAACAAAATGAATTAATTGTTATTGGATATCCATGCCACTTAATTAATTTGGCAGCAGAAAAAATGAGAAAAATTCTGAAACATGTATGCTTGAGATCCTTAGGCAGAGCGCTGTGAAAAACAGTGTGTTGATTCGTGTTGCCTATAATAGTTTGGCAAATCAAAAGGATGACAATGATCTTATAATTGGAAATCAAACCAGGGAACTTGTAAATTCTTTGAAAGATCATGAGAAAAAAGAATTTTTTCAATGTGTTAGAAAGTACTTTTCCTCAGCCTGTGATTACATTGTAAGGAAGTTTCCTTTGCAAAATGAAGTTCTTTTAAATGCTGAAGTGGCAAATTTGAAACAAATTGAAAATTCATCTTTTGAAAAGATTTGTTTTTTTATTGATAAATTTCCATTTTTGTTAACAATTAAAGAAAATGAATGCCATAATGATGCTTTAGATGAACTACAGAACCAATTTTCTGCTGCACAGTTTGAAGACTTTGCCAGTTCTGGAGAAGAGATAGACTTGATGTCCTCGTTGGTACCTTAAAAAGAATAAAAAGAGCTGATGGAACACCAAAATATGATAGACTAGCAAGAGTTTTATGTGCTATTCTCGTAATTCCACACAGTAATGCTGAGTGCGAGAGAGTCTTCAGTGTTGTGAAGAAAAACAAAACTATGTTTTCGTTCTTCAATTTCACCAAAAACTCTAGAAAACATTTTAATTGCTAAATGTTATGAGGAAACTAATTGTTATGAGACAGGAAATTTTCCAAAGAATTTTTGGCTAAAGCCAAAAAATGCACTCTAAATTCATTGCAATATTTTTTTTTTTTTTTTTTTTTGTGTAACATTAAGTTCTTGTTTTATGTTTCCTAATAAATTTTTTAGTTACTACTTAATTGAGATTTACTAATTAAGTGCAATTTTCTTTTTTCTATTTGTATAAATTGTTATTTTTTTAATATCAAAGCATGATATTAATTCTTCGTGTTCTTCTGAATTTTGA